CAGGTGAATGGATTGACTAGACAGGCTCGCAGAGCAGGGGTTCACAACAAGGTTCTCCGTTCCTCATTCTCACCTCATCCCACGACGTCAAACTCCACTTTTGTGCTGGTCACTTCATCCCTGCCCTGGCAGAGCACAGAGCACGGTTCATTGCTCCGGCCAGCCCTTCTCAACATGGCTGCTCTACCCCTCCTCTAGCGAGGCAGGGCCATTATCGGATGGATGCGACGAGAAGCCTGTGCCTCACTCCCCACTCCCACTTCATGCCTTGCTCCCCTCTAGATGCCCTTGGCAGTGAGCGTGGGCATCACAAATGTACGCAGGCCAAGTGAAGACCGGTTACTCAGACTGGTTGTGCTCTGTCTAATATCTGCCAAGCCCTGCTGAGTGCAAGGCAGAGAGCAAGAGCTGGTCTTGGGGCCTCTGCTTAGCTGGATTTTCCTGCAAACCTTTGTACCAGGCCCCTGACATACACCCCCCCACAAAAAGATTCCTTAAGATGAAGCTAAGTTGCGGGCACACAGCACCTCGACCAATAGATGGCGCCGTATCTGTGTCGAAACGTAACGTTGCCATCTGCAAAGTTATTTATGTTGTTGCATCTGTGGTGAGGGGGTAGTAGCAGGAAGGCTGAGTCCTGCCGGAGGTGCTGGAGTTGATACCTCCACTGGGCTAAGAAAGCTTTTGAGCGTGATAAGCGAGTATTATAGTGTGTTCTCTTTCAAGACGGTCAGCACCAAGGACAAACCCCAAACCTCCAAAGCTCTAGCAATGCAGCTTGCATTTCTCAGACAGAGCCCCCATCCAGAGCAATGCTGAAAGCAAGCCACACAAACAGCCTAACGTGTCCCTGCAGTTCATTTGCAGCACGAACCGGAAAAAACAACAACAGCCTAAACTTAATTGCATGAAAAAGTTTAAAAAACAACAAATAGTCTGGTAGCACTTTAAAGACTAACAAAACATGTAGATGGTATCAAATGGGTACAACCCATTTCTTCCACGACAGCTCATGATACCATCTACATGTTTTGTTAGTCTTTAAAGTGCTACCAGACCATTCGTTGTTGTTTTACGTTTTTCCTGTTACAGACTAACTCGGCTACCCCTCTGAAGTGCTTCATTGTGTGGTGGTTTCTGGTGATGTGCAGCAGATGCATGCAAATTTTGCACAGTCCTGATTAGGGTTGCCAGATGGTTTAACAAAAAATACCGACCCTCCCCCCACGCTAAAAAAAAAAAACGGGAAAAAATTCTGTTGAGGAAAAAAAAAAAAGAGGGAGACCAAAGTTGTTGAGAGAGAGAAAAAGGGGAGACCAAGTTGTTAAGGCAAAAAAAAAAAAAAAAAAAAAAAAAGGTGCCGATCCTGACTCTGGGATGGGGGGAAGGTTTGTATTGCATCTTACACAACTCCAGTTTGGCGCCACACACTAACCCCCAATGCACATACCCCTCCCTCTGAGCCAGGCCCCCCCCCATCCCCTCATCCTAATGCACTCACCGCTCCCTCAGAGCTAGGCCCTCCCTTGCATCCCCATCCCAATGCACTCACCCCTCCCCCAGAGCCAGACCCCTCCCAGCACCCACATCCCAATGCACTCACCGCTCCCCCAGAGCCAGACCCCCCCCAGCATCCCCATCCCAATGCACTCACCCCTCCCTGGTCATTTGTCCAAGTTTCCACTTTT